CTGGGCTGGGCTTGAACCCATCAGCCTCAGTGTATGTGGCCAGTGCCCTAGTCACGGAGCTACGGGCCTCCTCAGGTCCTTCTTATCTTTTTCATGTAGTCTTTTCAGCACTTCCAAATAGTTAACTTGGTACAAATTCATAATGAATAATCCCTCTGATATCAAAAAAAAGTTAGCAATATCATTTTTACTTGTTTTTTTGAGGCGGAGTCTCGCTCTGTTATCCTGGGGTTGAGTGCTATTGCGTCATAGCTCACAGCAACTTCAAACTCTTGAACTCAAGAGGTCTCCTGCCCCAGCCTCCTAAGTAGCTGGGACTACAGGTGCCTGCCACAACACCCAGCTAGTTTTTCTATTTATAGTGGGGGGTGGAGGTCTCTTGTTGAGACTGTTTTTGAATTTCTGAGCTCAGGTGATTCACCTGCCTTGGCCTCTCAGAGACCTGAGATTACAGGCATGAACCACCACTCTGGGCCTTTTGAATCTTAATTTGGCCTCATGGAATTATTATTATTTTTTGCAGTTTTTGGCCAGGGCTGGGTTTGAACCCACCACCTCCAGCATGTGGGGTCGGCGCCCTACTCCTTTGAGCCAAAGGCGCCACCCTGATGAAACTTTTTTGATCATGGAGAATTGGTGTGTACTTTGGCACTCCAAAACATAGGCTTGCCTCTCTAAGAGGTCTTGGCAAACTTCCACTCTCCTTTGCTTTTAGTCATCACTGAGCTCTTTTGTTACCATTTTTGCACACACCCCTCAGCCAAGATTTTCAAGATTTTCCTGTTTCTCTATCAATGTTTCCTTGGTCTCCTGTGCTTCTCATAGTCAGCTGATGATTTTGATGTACAATTCAACAAATTTTTTGCAATGTTTTCATCAGTTCTGCTCATTATTGGCCTCCCTGACCTCTTTTTATCAGGGAAGCTTTCTCTCCTCTCAGAATCCATTTGTTCACTGCCATTTTCTACATGGCATTGTCCCCATAAACTTGTACAAACATGTTCCTGATTTCATTTCCACTCTTGTCAAGTTTAACAAGAAATTTAGCAATGTTTGTTCATTGCTCTAATTTAAGCTCTAACATTCTAGCGATGGCACACAAAACACTAATATAATTTCTACTCAGCAGGACACAGGCACAGATGGACATGAACACACCTGGGAGACACTGATACACTTTACTGAAGCTGGGCATGGTGGCTCGTGTCTATAGTTGTAGCACTTTGGGAGTCTCAGGTGGGTAGGTTGCTCGAGCTCAGGTGTTCAAGACTAGCATAGAGACAGAGTGAGACCCTGTCTCTACTAAAAATGGAAAAATTAGCCGGGTGAGGTAAAGCACACCTGTAGTCCTAGCTACTTGGGAGGCCGAGGCAATAAGATTGCTTGAGCCCAGGAGTTTGAGGTACTATGAGCTATGATGCCATGGCACTCTACCCAAGATGACAGAGTGAGACATTGTCTCAAAAAAAAAAAAAAAGAAAGAAAGAAAATGAGTCAAACATGGTGATAGGTGCCTGGAGTCCCAGCTACTCAGGAGGCTGAGGCAGGAAGATCACTTGAGCCCAGGAGCCCTGTGAGCTGTGATGCCAGGGCACTCTACCCAGGCCAACAGAGTGAGACTGTCTCTCACCTGATGGGCACATTGTGAGGGTGCCCTTCATCCAGGGTTGTGCTGGGTGAAGGGCTGAACTTTACCTTAGAAACAAACAATGTAACCTAATCATCTGTGTCAGGGTCCCGCCCCAAGAGCAGCATTGCTGAGACCTGTGGAAACTGGCTGAGACCTGTGGAAACTGGCGGTGATCAACTGAAGAAATCTAGAGTTAGAAGCGACCCTAAAGAAAGACAAGAGACATAGAGTAGAATTAAAAGTGGGCGCTCAGGGGTCCATTGCCCACCCTAGGATTCTGGCAACAGCCCAAAGTGTTTGCTCCACTCTGATTTTATTAAAGTCTGTTTGCCCGAAGGTAAGATGAGGGAGGGAACAAAGATGTCAGCGGTTTCTCGGATTGATCATATCAGCTCCTATTGTTACTATTGTTAACCTTAAGGATATCCTTCAATAATATGAAATCTGAGCCTTATATTGGGAGAGCCTCCTGGTTGAGGTCACACACACGGATTTCTAGGGAGGTGTTAAGCTCCACTAGTTCTCTATGGAGTAAAATGCCACTGGCGTTAATCTCCTCTGAGGGATGGGTGGGAGGCAGGCATTTTCTTCCCATCACCACCACAGTAGATTTTCCTCTGCAATAAGGGATATAAGCTCTTCTGCCCATCTCAGAGCTCCAGCTACTCCCTTGGTCTCTGCTCCAGGCAAATACAATGGGTATCTGCTTTGCCTGTTTAATGGGCAGGAAACACCCTAGAAGATGTATCTTTTGCGAGGACATTGTCATAGTCTCTTCTATGACCATTATTCCCCTCAGAGTGATCACAGACCCCGCAGGGTGTTTGTAAGCTGTATCCTTAACAGGATAGAATTTCAGAAAAGGCAAGAATGGCTAGCTTAAAGGTAAACTGGCTGACTTTTCTTTGTTTCTACTCACTCAGCTTTCTTTTCAGTTTTCTTCTTTTTCTGGGGATGCTTTCCTTTGCCAAGAACAGGTCTTTAGTCCCCATTCCCCCAGCAATGTGTACCCTTAAATAATACAAATTTTAAAAAATGTAAAGAAAAAAAAGAGAAAGAAACCTTACCAAGTTGTTTGTACAATGCTGCTGATGTAAGCACATGGTGGCAAGTTTGCAGACTTAATTGTCAGACCTTGTACATTTATATAATCAAGCATATGATATCACAGCTCACAGCAACCTCCAACTCTTGGGCTTAAGCAATTCTCTTGCCTCAGCTTCCCAAGTAGCTGAGACTATAGGCATCCACCACAATGCCCGGCTACTTTTTGTTGCAGTTGTCATTGTTTAGCAGGCCCTGGCGGGGCTGGAACCCACCTGCCTCGGTTATGTGGCAATACCATAGGCTTTTGCAGGTAAAATACATAAATCAAAATCAATCAAAATGTTAATAATGAGTTATTTAGATAGTTTTGTTAACAGTGTGTCTTCATAATGGTTTGTATATCAGACTATGAATGTCTCTAACATGAAAGCAATGTTAATGAAAGATAACCAAAGAAAAGAAAAAAATTGATAGCCAGCAGTCTAATGATGTATAATATTTGTGTTCATAAACCTTCTTAATAAATTTCTGGCAGTTACCAAATTATTGGCTTCTTTATTCTTCTGTACATGCGAGAAAAGGAAAGCCTTTGAATGAAGACTCTGCGAAAGACCCAGTGTTAGTCACTGTTTTCTTCTTTCATATGTACCATTGTTTTTTCTCAAAGTACAAAGAAATTAGAAATTATTTCATCTGCCAGCCATTACTAAAACCTGTTTTAATTTGTTCATATTCTTTCTTTTGGTATTGGTATCAAGGAAGTTTAATTCTAGATGACGATTTTCTTCTTTAACATTAAAGAATTACATTAAGCAAATTAAAAATATCTTTTACTTAACGAAATGGAACTTGTAGTATATAACAGGATAACTTTTAATCCCCACTATTTATATAGGGGCCATCTGTTAGAATTTCTGTTGGTGGTGAAAGTATTAACCATGTAGTTTTTTTCATGGCTGCTTACACAGCTGATTTAAACCAAACAATGAACAAAAACTTGCTCAATGAGAATGATATCATACATGAATCTCTGTAAACGCATCATCATTCATCTCGTTTTACAGAAGATATTAAGAATGCAAAAATAATGGACATTAACCTCATTTACAATTGTTGTTCATTCCAAAATGCTAGAAATCATGTTATGATATCACTTTCATGAAGTATAATCATAGACTTTTTTTTTTTTTTTGAGACAGAGCCTCAAGCTGTCACCCAGGATAGAGTACTGTGGCATCACAGCTCATAGCAACCTCCAACTCCTGGGCTTAAGTGATTCTCTTGCCTCCGCCTCCCAAGTAGCTGGGACTACAGGCACCCACCACAGCACCTGACTATTTTTTTGTCGTAGTTGTCATTGTGGTTTGGCAGGCCTGGGCTGGAATCCAACCCGCCAGCTCTGGTGTATGTGGCTAGTGCCTTAGCCACTTGAGTTATAGGCACCGAACCCATAGACTTTTATATATGTGTTTTAAAATGGATATCTTTGTGTTTAAGTATGTTTCATGTTTTTCTGCAGATATCTAGAACTAATTTGAAATTTCCCATGGTAGAAAAAAGAATGTATCCCAGAATAAAATTTTCCATACATGTGTATGTTTAAAATTTTAGCTTCTTTGATTTGTGTATTTGAATAGAAGGGCCTTGGTTTTTGGTTAGGCTTATAAAGACTAAATGGCCAATTTTAGCAGAGTACTTCAACACTAATTTTTTAAAAAAATAATGTAAGCAGTGTGAAATTATGGAAAAAGTATAAGACTACATATAATTTAGAAGACTAAAATTCAAGTGTGCCTTTGCCTCTTAATAATTTTACCTCTGGCAAAGATTTATGTATTCTGCGTATCTCTTCCTCATCTGCACACAGTAGTGACACCTGCTTTGCCTGTCTGACGTTTTTGCTGTGAGAATGCAATGAGATAACATACAGGAAAGGAGCATGTAAATACTCCTTGAGTAAAATGACATGATAGGTTTTTGCTTCATTCAGCTTAGTTGTACAAATTAATTTGCCAATTTATTAGTAGAAAGAACTCTTTCATGTCCTTTATCTAGATTCTCTAATTGTTAAATGTCTGTAACCTTTTTGTTTTCTCTTTCTCAGTGTCATTATCTATTCTGGGTCTACGTAGACTTAACGGTCAAGATTTTTTTTTCATCTGATGTGCCTGAGACAGTCCCTTGAACATAATAAGGAGGCATCTAAATGTTGTTTTTTCATAATAGATTTTAGTTGACAATTATTGTATACAAAATTATTTAATATCAATGAAGGTATGTCATTTCAAATGCAGTTATAGATTTAAAACTTTCTTAATTTCAGATTTCCTTTTTTTCTGGGGAACTATATTTTTAGTAACAACAACATTAGTTGCTCTTCTGAAAAAAGAAAACAAAGAAATATCAGTAGTAAAAGAAGAAACACAAGGGATCACAGATACTTACAAGCTGCTTTTTGAAATTGTGAAAATGCCAGCAGTTCTGACATTTTGCCTTCTGATTCTAACTGCAAAGGTAAGAGATGTATAAATCAAATTTACCATTTTGTTCTAAGTACCAATATCATGTAATTCTTTCAATGCCTTTTCATGTCATAGGTTTCTTTCCACTACTATTAGAATTTAGCAGTGAAAAACAACATTTTCTGTTTATTAAATGTATTTGAAAAAGGCACGATATCAAATGTAATTTTAAAATAAACTTATTCTTGAAAAAAATTATGTCAATTTGAAGAACTGCTAATAAATGTGAACTGTTACTGAATTAGTGATGTTAGTGCTTAGAACAGAAATGAATACCTTAAAAAATAGCTTGGCCTCTCAAAGTGTTGGGATTATAGGCTGAACCACTGCGCCTGGCCTGTAATATGTGTATAACTCTTTTTTTTTTTTGAGACAGAGTCTCATCCTGGTAGAGTGCTGTGACGTCACAGCTTACAGCAATTTCTAACTCTTGGGCTGAAGTGATTTTCTTGTCTCAGCCTCCCAAGTAGCTGGGACTAATAGGTGCCTGCCACAACGCCTGCTATTTTTTGATTGTAGTTGTCATTGTTGTTTGGCAGACCCAGCATGGATTTGAACCCACCAACTCCAGTGTATGTGACTGGCACCCTATCCACTGAGCCACAGGCGCTGAGCTGTGTGTGTATATAACTTTTAGTGGACATAGGTACACATTTTGGATAGGTAAAAAACTTTTAAGAATAGAACTGTTGAGCCATAGGAAGTACATAGTACAAGTATATTCTGCCAAACAGTTTTCCAAAGTGGTTGAGCCAGTTTTCCCTTCTACCAGCAGTGATAGAGTTCTAATTATTTTATATCCTTGCAAACACATAGATTGTCTTTTCAGTGTTATCATTTCTGATAGATGTGTAGTGGCATCTTATTATGGTTATAATGTGAGTTTCCCTAAAGATGAAAGAAATTGAGCATCTTTTCATATGGTTTAACATACACGGTTGCCTCTCTTTAAACTTGTAAAATTTTTGTTTTTTATAGATTCTGTATTGTTTTGTTAGATATGTGTACTACAAATATCCCCTACTCTACAACTTTTAAGACAGAGTTAATGATGAAGTCACTTTGTAGATCTTATTTTTATAAAGAGAATGGATAAAATCTAAGTGAAATTCTTTTTTGGGCTTAAGTGAAATATATTTGCACTTTAATTTTTTTTATGGTGAAATTTACTCTTTTGCTCCATTCCAAGAAGTTATAGTATATACAATTTATGATGTCTTTTAAAAAAAATTGTGATGGGGGTGGTGCCTGTGGCTCAGTGAGTAGGGCGCCATATACCGAGGGTGGCGGGTTCAAATCCGGCCCCCAGCCAAACTGCAACAAAAAAATAGCCGGGTGTTATGGTGGGCACCTGTAGTCCCAGATGCTTGGGAGGCTGAGGCAGGAGAATCACCTAAGCCCAGGAGCTGGAGGTTGCTGTGAGCTATGATGCCACAGCACTCTACCAAGGTCAAGAAAGTAAGACTCTGTCTCTACAAAAAAAAAAAAAAAAAGTGATATAATTTCACAATGTTTGCAAATTTATTAGTAGAAAGAACACTTTCATGTCCTTTATCCAGATTCTCTAATTGTTAACATTTAGCTCTACTTTTTTTTTTTTTTGGCCAGGGCTGGGTTTGAACCCACCACCTCTGGAATATGGGGCCAGCACCCTACTCCTTGAGCCACAGGCACCACCCAAGCTCTACTTTCTTTATTTTGTATATTTGTTCTTTCTCTATTACATTTGTTTTTAATTTTTATTCTTTTTTTTTTTTTTGCAGTTTTTGGCTGGGGCTGGGTTTAAACCCACCACCTCCAGCATATGGGGCCAGCGCCCTACTCCTTTGAGCCACAGGTGTCACCCCTCTGTTACATTTTTCACGTAAAACATTTGAGAGTAATTTGTACATATGTGTGACAGTGATGCCTCATTTTAACCATACTTATTCAGGGTTAATTTAAGCCTTAAGTTCTTACTCCTATTTCTTGATGATTAGGAAAAAAAATAAAAGTCTTATATTCTTTTAAACTTAAAGCAAACAAATCAATAAGTTTGGATTTTTGATACTATTTATTAAGAAAGGTTGGAGTTTATTGAAGTGGAAATTTAGTTGCACTTACAGCTATCTACATTTCTTATGAGTACTGAATTTTCAGTTTTCACTGAGTATTATTAGTAAACCATTGGGCAAACTGGGCCTTCTGTAACTTGATTCTTGTACCAACTACACTAATATGGTACTTGTAACTGTTATGAGTCAATAATGAAATTGAGGTTTTTTTAGGAACTTACATATAATTACAGTAAAATATTTCATAAGTCACAAATTAAAATACTTTTTGTTTATATTGCAGATTGGTTTTTCAGCAGCAGATGCAGTAACAGGACTGAAACTGGTAGAAGAGGGAGTACCCAAAGAACATTTAGCCTTATTGGCAGTTCCAATGGTTCCTCTGCAGATAATATTGCCTCTGATTATCAGCAAATACACTGCAGGTCCCCAGCCACTAAATATATTTTACAAAGCCATGCCCTACAGGTAAAAATGAAATAAAACCCTTGCTAAATAAGAAAGGTTAAGGCTTGCCGCCTGTGGCTCAAGCGGCTAAGGCGCCAGCCACATAAACCAGAGCTGGCGGGTTCTAATCTAGCCCGGTCCTTCCAAATAACAATGATGGCTGCAACAAAAAAATAGCTGGGTGTTGTGGCGGGGACTGTAATCCCAGCTATTTGGGAGGCGGAGGCGGGAGAATCACTTGAGCCTTGGAGTTGGAGGTTGCTGTGAGCTGTGATGCTACAGCACTCTACCCAGAGCGACAGCTTGAGACTCTGTCTCAAAAAAAAAACAAGAAAGGTTAAAAATGAGTATCACTAATATCTGAATGTAGAGTATATATGGCAAAATTCTTGAAAAGTATCTTCAATTTCAATATCATTCATATGCACATTTATCTCATTTTAACCTCTTACCAGGCTTTTAACAGGTTTCTTTCATGTGGTATGAACACAGATTTTTGTTGTTGTTGTTATTTAACCTAAAATGGAAGTAAACTCAGTGTCCCTTTCTTTTCCTACAGGTTATTGCTTGGATTAGAATATGCCCTGCTGGTTTGGTGGACTTCTAATGTGGAACATCAAGGGGGATTCCCTATATATTACTATATAGTAGTGCTGCTGAGTTATGCATTGCACCAGGTAAGCCTGATGTGGTTTTTCTCAGGGAGTAAACTGTTTTGTGTAAAATGAAGACAGTTTTCTATTGTTGCTTTAAAAGGATGTAAATAAATTTTAAGATTTATGAATTTGATGAAGAAATGTTTAGATAGCCTTTAAATTATTTTAAACCTTATGGCCTTTGATATAATGAGTTGTTTACTTTCTCTGAAAAGGAGAGCTCCTTATTCATTCTTTCATTTTTAAAAAGTCCTTCAACAAGTATTTGTTACATTTCAGAATTGATTACAAGCCAGCTAATTCTACTCTTGCTAAGCAATTCCTTGCTTTATCCCTAGATTAGGATTCTTTGTTTCTTTAAGTCCTAAATCTTTTCAGAAAGTATTGAGAAATAATGATGGCTACTGGATTAGAGGTCCCAGGTTCCTGGCTTAGCTTCTGTATTAAAGTTATGACGTTCTCTTTGTGATTTCAAAAGCCATGTGTTAGATTGCTTTTTCTCTCTTTGTTAAATAAGTTTATAATCTCTAAAAGAAGTAATTTCTTCTTTACTCTAGCTTCACCTAAGCTGCTCTTGCAGAATGGAATTTTTTTTCTTCTGGAAGCAAGTGTGTCAAGTAAATGGCTGAGACCCAGCAGTAACCTTTGGGACTCAACTACAATTATTGCTAATACATCTTTCAGAGTCACTTTAGATTTTTCTGTTGAACCTACTCTAAACCCTTTGAAAGTTATATTTATTCACTTTGACTTAGTTGTTAACTGAATCCTGAAAATACAGCTTCTAGGGGCAGTGCCTGTGGCTCAAAGGAGTAGAGCGCCAGATCCATATACCGGAGGTGGTGGGTTCAAACCTAGCCCTGGCTAAAAACTGCAAAAAAAAAAAAAAAAAACAGCTTCTAGGAAATCTCAATAGTTTTATGCATATAGTAAATCATTTAGGAAAATTCCATAGTAGATCTTGTCTGACTCTAGGGGTCCTCAAACTTTTTAAACAGGGGGCCAGTTCACTGTCCGTCAGACTGTTGGAGGGCTGGACTGCAGGCCCCGGGACAAGTAAGCTGCTAAGCAGGACAGACAGGGGCGGCAAAAACACCCAGCAGGCTGGATAATAAATGTCCTAGGCGGGCCGCATGTGGCCAGTGGGCTATAGTTTGAGGACACCTGGAAGCTGTATATTTATAAAATCGTTGAGGCCAGGCTCAAATATTTTTTTCTGTTTTGCATGTTTCTAGTTAATAAGAGGCACATAATATAAGTTAAAAGGAGGGCTTTAGCTCCGAGAATGCTATACTATTTATCTGTATGATGTTATAGTCCAAAAATTACTTGTTTGGCTTTGGATTTTATTGGAGAATTTCCCAAAGTGTAGTCAGTGAACGCATAACCAGATGCTTTGTGGGGGGAAGGCACAAGGCTAAGTAAATCTGAGAAGCAATGCATGACATAACTCCTCTACACTTCAATCATTTCTTTGGCAAATACTAAGTGAACACCTATTCCCTGCCAAAAGCCATTCTCAGTACTGTTCATGCCAAAATACCTGTCCTCAAGGAGTTTATATCCTAAAGATTTCAGAAGACCTACAGTGAAAGGAACCTTTTAAATTTTGTGTGACCTAACATCACCCAGTCTTAGTTGACTTTGGAACTCCTTTTTATAGGAACATCCTATATAACAGTATTCAAAGGAATACTGTTTTGGAAATATAATTTATTTCCGTTTTCCTAAGTGGAGAGTTGGTTCTTCCCTCATAAGCACTTTTTGCCTCTTAAGGAGGTTTTTCTTTGTAGCTTATCACATAAATTTTGAAATGTTATTTTTCTTATGTATATATAGGAAAAATATATAATTATGAATTTATATTTCTTTGAATACTTGAGTGTTTACATGTATAATAAGTATAAACATAAATACACATTTACACAATATATATTTAGGTATAGCATAAATGTGAAATTTTCTCTTTTTCTGTATGCTTTCTTCAATATCACCTCATCTGTCAGTTTCTCCATTGGGTCTTCCTTGACTACTCATTGTAATATTAATCTCTCATTTATTTATGCCCCAGTAGTATGATATGTGTACTTCTATTTTCAGTATTTACTACATTTGATCATAATTGTTTATTCCTGTTTTACCAGCCTAGAATAAATTCATAGAGGTCAGAGAAGAACTGGGTTTTTTTTTGTTCGTTTGTTTGTTTTTTGCAGCTTTTGGCCACCTCTGGTATATGGGGCCGGTGCCCTACTCTTTAAACCACAGGCACGACACAGGACTGCTTTTATTCATTGTCGTATTGCCATTATCTTAAAGCCTGGCTTACAGTACATGCTAGATAAACGTTTGTTGAATTGAATTTAATAACAGTTATGAAAATTAATTCAGGTTTATGATTTTGATGTTCTTAATTTAGACCATAGCTGTATAAGTCTAATCACGTTCATGATGTTTTACATTTTTCCTGTAGGTGACATTGTACAGCATGTACGTTTCTATAATGGCTTTCAATGCAAAAGTTAGTGATCCACTTATTGGAGGAACATACATGACCCTTTTAAATACTGTGTCCAATCTGGGGGGAAACTGGCCTTCGACAGTAGCTCTTTGGCTGGTGGATCCCCTTACAGTGAAAGAGTGTGCAGGAGCATCAAATCAGAATTGCCGAACACCTGATGCTGTTGAGGTATGTTTTAACTTTAGATAACATTACGCTAATACTAAGGTGTGGTGGCTCATGCCTGTAGTCCCAGCTATTTGGGAGGCTGCAGCCTTGAACTGCTGGTCTGCATTGAGCTATGATTGTTGTCAGGGCCCAGGACTGGCCAGGTCTTGGGCCCAGCTTAGGTAGGTTCTGGACATGGACCACTAAGCTACCTTGCTCAGGAACAGTTTCTCGTAGGTGCTTGAGGGCTATCTACTTTAGCTGGAGAGAGAGAGACAGAGTATCTTAGAGAGAGTAAAGGTCTTCTTAGAACAGATAGCTCTTAGTCTTTAGCAGAGCTTGGTAATCTTCAGCAGAGACGCTGTGCTGGCGTTCTGCAGGCCGGAGAGGAGACAGAGTCAGAGTAAGCGTGTCCATGATAGTATGCGCATGCCTCTTGACTGCCTTCTCCTCCAGCCTAATATAAGGCTGAGCTCGTGCTTCTCAACACCACAGGTGTAGAGACTGCCAATTCACCAATGCTCTCATCTTGCAAGCTCACTCATGCTTGTTAGAACCAAATCTCTCTCCATGCCCTTTTCACCAACGTGTTCCATTACAGGTATTTCCTATAACTCTCACTCCTCTCAGCCATAGGCTATACGGGCTGCTACAGATTGTACCACTGCTCTTCAGCCTGGGCAACAGAGGGAGACCTTATCTTTTAAAACAAAAAACAGAAAGGGTATTAATTTCCTTGTTTTGCCTCTAGAAATATTATTTCTTTTCTTTAAATCGTATCTGTCCATAGTTTCTAGTGTAGTAATCTACTTATATTTTTTCTTTCTCATCATAACTGGGGGTGATAATACATTCAAATCAGCAAGAGTATCTCACTGAAAGGTGGTTATTAGCATTGGAGAGGCAATCTTTCCGACACTTTGGGGATCACTATCCTACACAGTAGGCACTAGACATAAATAATACATGTGTAAATGTATAATTAATATATGTAGCTAAGTTTTATAATATTAGGGGGAAAAGGAACTTCCATTGGCTATTTATATAACAATTACAGCTAAAACTGAATGGTTTATTGATAAATTATTTCAGAGTAATATTAGTCCTTTTCTGGAGTAGATTCGTTAGAAATTTCTTTACATTTCCAAATATGAAGAGCTGCATCTTGCTTAGAGCAAGATTTGAAAATTGTTTTTAATCCTGTCATTAGCATTAGAGAGATTAAGATGTAACAACATATTTTGTCATTTGCAATTAAGTGAAATATTGAAATGTTTTCAGACAAATGTATTTTGATTAATACTTTATAAAGTAGAAACATGGTAATTACTGGATTCTTTTGTTTTGAAATTGCAGAATATTTACTATAATTTTCTTTTTACAGCTTTGCAAAAAACTTGGTGGCTCATGTGTTACAACACTGGATGGTTATTATGTGGAGTCCATTATTTGTGTTTTGATTGGATTTAGTTGGTGGTTCTTTTTTGGTCCAAAATTTAAAAAGTTACAGGATGAAGGACCATCTTCATGGAAGTGCAAAAGGAGCAATTAATGTATACACTACTGGACACTCTAGAAAGGTAATTTTAGTTTAGTTTTAATTCAGAGAGCTATGATAATCAATGCACAGGACTATGAAATACTATTTTAAGCAAGGAAATTATTAATACAAAATGCCAAATGATTGAAAGAAAAAGACCTCTTTGTATATTTGATCATATTTTCCTTGCTTTGTTGATGTATTTGAAGTTTACTTAAGGTCGGGAAATTGGTTCTAAAAAAACTTTTTTTGGCCTTGTTATTTGATTTGTATCTTTTTAATTAACTGACCAAAGCAAATTTTAAGCTGCAATTCAGTAGTCGTGGGTGGTGACCATGCAGCCAAGTATTGTTACTGATACCTATCATTGAACTCTATTTAAAATTTGGTACTATAGAGTAAATGGAAATGAGCTTGATATTCAACTGCTGTCTACAACTAGTCTGACTTTGTTGGCAGTTAAAGTCTTATTTTGAATTGTAAATTGCTTAAATTTTACCTGTTATTTGCTGAGAAGAGGATGCGGACTACTGAAATGTCATTTTAGTTGTTATTTTTCTGACCATAACCACATTGTACAAATCAATCTGTGTTTAAAAGACTATTTTAAATGTATTTCCTGCTTTTATAAACATTAAAGATTTGTAAGAAGATTATTCAAACTATTTTTTATAAAATAAAAGCTATGACTTTTAATTTGTTGATTCCTCTTGCCCTTCCCCCCTCATTTAGAAAGATATTTTGATTCCTTGTTAACATTTAACCTAAAGCTTCCAAATGTTTTTTGTCACAAGCATTTTGTGGCACACAGACAGCTAATGAGGGGATCAAAGTGTTGTATGTATGTTCACAGAAAAGTTCTGGAAATAAAAATTGAATTTTATTCTTCAAGTAGTTTTTTTTAATTAAGGAAAGAAAAAACAGTAAAGCTTTCCAATTAAGTAAAATTTAAATGAATAGTTCCATAATTTTAAGAACTAATATTTTAAAGAGAGAGACAAAGACATTTTGTGCCTTTGACAAATAAATAATGGGTGGAACAATGTTTTTTCTAATTCAGCACTTTACTACTGAAAAAGAGCTCACAGTTACTTTATGCCAAATCAGGTACTGTATTTTCATTTATGAAAACCCAGCCTTTTATTTGTAAACTAGAGTTTCTACTGGACAATTGCTATTCCAGAAGAATTAAGCTTTTGAGTACGTTAGCAATTTCCAGCATACCGTGGACATCCAGTGATATGGTTCTTTGCATATTTTGTTATGTATTACTTTGACACATTAGAGATGACATAAATCCTTCAGAAGTTAGCAAAAACGGGAGATTCAGTTATGAGTCTTAATTTTATGTTAGTGGGAAAACATATACTAATGCCTGATTTTGTTAATTTTATAAGATACGTTGAATTTTAAAGTGGGGTTTTTATAAGAAATAGAGAATAAAATGGGTGGGAGAAAATGGCATAAGCATCTGAAGAAAAATAAGGGCAGTGTCTCTAGAATTCATGCACTGCTATTGGAAAGCCTGTGTTGAGCATCGATGTCTCCTGGAAAAATACTCATCCTAGAGCAGCAGTTCTCAACCTGTGGGTCACGACTCTTTTGTAACAATGAAAATACATCTTGGCATTAGGAAGGTTGAGAAGTAACTGTCCTAGAGGCATGGAGGCTACACCAAACCATAGACCAGCAGTACTGTGTCATGTGGTTATCCATTCTCATGTGTTATAATCAATGTCTACTTAAATAAAGGAGGAAAAGAACCCACTTAACTCTTACACATGAAATGCAGTTTGATTTTTAATTTTCAGATTAAGAAGCTCAGATTGCCTTAACAACCTTTTATTTTTTCCATTTATATTATTCCAAATTATGCATACTTTAAAACATAGTTTGAAGTTCTATACATCTTTATGACTTGAAGTGTTAAAATATATTTTAAGCCCTTAACTGTAAGGTGAAAGCCATTAATTGTATTTACTCTAAAAATAAACAAAAACTTATTTTTAATTATAGTCATTGGTAATTTGGGTACAGTTATAATGCATGCCAAAAAAGACTATTAATATGGGTGGTGCCTGTAGCTCAGTGGGTAGGGCACCAGCCACATAACCGAGGCTGGCAGGTTTGAACCAGGCCCAGGCCAGCTAAAACAACAATGACAAGTGCAACAACAACAAAAATAGCTAGGCATTGTGGTGGGCGCCTTAAGTCCCAGTTACTTGGAAAGCTGAGGCAAGAGAATCGCTTAAGCCCAAGAGTTCGAGGTTGCTGTGAGCTGTGACGCCACGGTACTCTACCCAGGGTGACAGCTTGAGACTCTGTCTCAAAAAAAAAAAGAAAAAAAGACTATTAATAGCTTATAACCATGTTGCGTACATTAATCATTAATGTTATTTAAAAATGATCTGCCTAAATCTGAGGATCTAAACATTGTAGTACTAGAAAATACTACCCTATTTTTGTATGTGTTTTTCTTGAATAATTAATTCTGACAAACTCTATCCTCTAATGGGTGGATATTAACTCCTGCTGTTAATGTATTATATGTTTACAGCTAATATTAGATAGAACACAATATCTCTGTGTGTGTGTTGGTTGTAACATGTATATGCCTACATTTTAAAAAGTTATACCTAAAACTAAAACCACAAACTCCCTCCATTGTAAATATTTTAATTTTGATTGATTAATCATGTGTTTGTTCAACATCTTAAATCGATTGCTTTATATTTTTATATTAGCCCTTTGAAATCTAAACCTACAATGTAAAGTTATTGTTAGATTTCATCCCTTTATTGCAAGGGTTTTTATCCAAAACAGAATTCAGTGGGGCTGGGCCCCTGAAACCCCTAAATTGGTTTGCAAAACTCTGGATATATAATTTTTGTTTTTCTGAACAGAGTAAAATCTTGAATGGGCTGTAATCCAAAAACTGTGGGCTGTTCATAATCACAAATCTAAAATAATAATTATGAATTTTTTTAAAGATGTCTGAGAAAAATGTTGACAAAAATCAATGATGAGAACTGGAAAACCTCTGCATTTATAGTACTACATTAAACTTGAAACCTTGAAAGGGTAGGTAAGACGTTACTGGCAAAAGGGATACCAAAAGGATGAATTATATCCTGCAAAAGACTTATCTTAGTATTTAACTCTTATTTTCTATGTGACTTTTATTTTGCCTTGTTAAGAAACCAAAAAAAGTATGTCACTTTATATTAAATGGTTGGGATCATTATTTAAGGCCAGGGGTGGTGGCTCACACCTGTAATTTTAGCACTGTGGGAGGCCAAGGAAGGTGGATTACTTGAGTGCAGGAGTTCAAGACCAGCCTGAGCAAGAGTGAGACCCTGTCTCTACCAAAAATGGGAAAACTAGCTGAGCGTCATGGCAGGTGCCTGTCGTCCCAGCTACTTGGGAGGCTGAGGCAGGAGGATCACTTGAGCCTAGGAGTTTGAAGTTGCTGTGAGCTTAGATGCGACAGCACTCTACCCAGGGCACAGAATGAGACTCTATATCAAAAAATATATAAATAAGTAAATAAAATTTAAAAATGACTAAATTTGTTTTTATATTTTGGAGGATTATGTTTTTCCAAGTAGTTAAGAATTACCAAAGCTATATAACACAAACCCTGCTAAAAACAAACAACTTAGTGGGAACATTCTGTGCCCATTTCCAAAATATGTTTAACTTTAATATTAGAGAGAGAAAATAAATCTTTAAAATAATTTCATCAAAACTAGGATTAATGTATTTCGTGAGAGCCATTTTAGTTATTACAGAAGGGAAGTTCATAATTGTAACTGCTGAGACTTTTTAAAACAAATGTGTTTGGTAGATAGCAAAGCATAATTATTGATTATAGGCCATGTTCTTTTCTACTTCAGCTTTTATCTGCCTGATTTGATAGTGCCAAATTTTTAATGTAATCAGCATTTGGTTTGGGACTAAGAGCTCTTCTGTTTACTATCATTGATGTTTGTTTTATTGTGAGGAAGAGAAATGGGCATTTTATAGTGAAAATTCTATGATAATCTCTTAAAAACATTTTGCCCAAGTGTATCATTAAAGAGATCATAATAAAGGATCAGTAATATTAATTTGCATAGCTCATGAAGTCTTGAATCATTTAAAAACTACAGTTTAATAGTTTTTAATTTTCAATATAGACAATACAACTTTTTAACAATTTTGTGGGAAGAGTAATGATTAAATAGCAGGTAGAAATAAACAAGGTACTGGTATAATTAGCAGGGAATTATCATTAAGTCTCTAAAATTTAGTACTATAGTCAGTGAACAGATAATCACTAATATAAAATTAAAATATTAAAGCCTATTCTTATTTTCCTTGAAATGACCTTAATTGTTGGAAAAGTTTAATTTTATAGTAATAGTTAAGAAATTGAATCTTTTTATCACATGTACCTATAAAGTTAGGAAAATATAAATTTGGAACAAAATTTGGTATTTTAAAAGGTTTGGCATACTTGATAAATTGATAAATTTCCACTTTGGAATTTTATCGATGAATCTATATTGTTCTCTGATACTGTATTTACAAGAATTAGTGTAAATTGAAAAAAAACTCAATGTTGAAAGCTGTCATTGTTGAAATCTTTAAGAAATCATTGTGCCCATGTGCACAATATTTGAACTAAAAATAGATAGGACACAATTATTTCTACTGTCATTTTTGGAAGATCTGTCATTAGCCTTGATGGTTTTGTGTTGTTTAAGTGTTTCAAGTATATGTGAAATGTTTAGTTATATTTGATTAACTTATTAAAAGTTGTGCATTAAACATTAATTTTTATGCACTGTATAAGTGTTTGGAATATATTTGACGTGATTCTCTGGATTTTTACGTGAAGGATTACTTAAATGCTTAAAATGATTGTTACACAATCGATCTCTAAAAAATAAAACATTAATGAAATACTTTGTTTTCCTTTTTATTAACAGATGAATTTACTTTCAAATCAGTCATGTTAAAATTACAGTAGATTGGCATAATTAGTAACAACTATGGTAATTTCAAGTCACATGTACTTACTATAAACCTTTTCTCTTTTTTTATATTTCAGGTTAATGTGAGAGTACAACCTCTTTTTCTTTTTTAACTGAAGCCATCCTTAATTATTGTTTGTATCTTTTTTTTAGACAGAGACAGTCTTGCTTTGTTGCCCAGGCAGGAGTGCAGTGGCATGATCATAGCTGGCTGCAGCCTTGAACTCCCGAGCTCAAGCAGTCCTGCAGCCTCAGCCTCCCAAGTAGCTAGGACTATAGGCAGGGGTCACTATGCTCTGCTAATTTTAAAACTTTTTTAGGGATAAGGCTCCCAGAAAATGGAATTATAGATGAGCGCCACCATGCCTGACCTGTTTGTACTTTTCATTAATAACTGGGTAAAGGAAAGGGTAGGAAGAGGCATGACACTTTCCCTTTAATAAAAGATGTTTCTTGGGATTATTGAGAATTTCACAGCCCTGATCACACCACTGCAGTCCAGCCTAGGCAACAAAGTGAGATTCTGTGTCTAAAGAAATAATAAGATAAAGAATATCACTGGGAAATTTTATTACAAAATCTCTTATTTTTAAAACATTTATATTTGGTTTCTTTAGTGGTTATCCTTCTTTAAAGGATAATGTGAAACTGTAGAGAAAATATTTTGTGTTTCTGTACAATTAGAGCTCTGGGCAAATTTTACTAAAATTTGGGGCTATGCTGAAAGAGAAGCCCTTGAAGCTAAATTATGACTGAATTGATAGTGCGAAACCATCCAAAGTATATTAGCTTGCTAGGGTGGCTGTCACAAAGTAATACAGACTGGGCGACTTAAACAATGGAAACTCACTTTCTCACAATTCGGGAGGCTGTAAGTCCAAA